GTCACCCAGCCTGATTTATGCCACACTTGTAAACTTGCGTATCTGTTCGAGCTCACCAGAGATAAATCACTTATAATCACTTATAATTACTATTGCAGACGTCGAGTATAAATCTCGGGACGTGAGGCGATAGCCTAGGGTTGTGGTTCACTCCATTCGACCGCCACAAGGTCTATATGTAACTGACATATAGGTCTTGAGACGATCTAGCGAATGATATCCAAAACATATGTTCTCCGTTCGTACTGTTTACAGTGCGAGTAGTATACTTGTTAAGTCGGAATATAAGTGTTCTTGGATGAATGGTTCTAAAGGGAGGAATCAAAGTTGAAATTGGAAAAATCGTCAAATCATGCATGCATCAATCATATCATTATGCAACGTCAGCAAGATTATTAGCTATCAAATTTTAAAATACTACGTAAAATGATGGATATGTTTGAATATGTTTAAAAATGCACGCTGAAATATTATATTTAAATCAAGCAATAATATCCCTTTTTAGGGTTCTGTACCCAACGGGTAAGAACGGGACCCTATTACTAAGACTCCGCTGTCTGTCTGTCCGTTGTCACCAGCCTGTTTCAACTTTACGCAAATGTGCGACTCTGTTTTGAATTTCATCCACAATATACTTTTATACGAGAACTACACAATGGAATATAAGTAATAGTGTGAATAAAAGAAAATTTCCTATATTTATATTACAAAAAAAATTATGTAACAGCCTATACAAATCCTCTGCTTGCTTGTTCTGCTTGGCAAAGGCCTCCTCTGTACAGATGGTATTAGGACATAGTCCACCACGCAACCCCATTGCGGATTGAAGTCTGTCACATGTCTCGAAATATTTATTTTTTTGTTATTATTTCGAAAATATGCACCTTTTCTCATGTTTTCCTTCACCGCTGAGCACATGATAATTCAGCAATTAAAATTCACAATTTCATCGGTGCTGGCACCGGGATTTCAACTAAGGTCGCTCGAGTATATTTAATTAAAAGCGAGCGTCTGGACACTGAGCTATCACGGCTAAACTGAGAAATAACTATGCTAATATTGTCAGCATAACTATAATTCTTTCTTGCAGTTGACATTTGAGAGATTTGAAACATTTTTATTTTCTTTCGTATCGTAATGTTTGGTATATCAACTTTACAAAGAACACAACTTACTAAAAAAAACTAACTTTAAAAGTTTATGTCCTAGGCTTAACGCAGCTGCTGGTGACAAGAGAGCTGGTTCTTTTCTAGCTCAAAGGTTAAGCATAACTATTCAGCGATGAAATGCAGCTAGCTAGCGATTAGGTTTATTAGATAATATGTAATTTTAGATAGATTAATGTTGTAAAAACTTTGATAAATAAAATTGTGAATGTTTTAAATTTTAAGATACTTGAATATAAAAAAATGTAAAAAAAAAACTTACTAAAAGTTCAATAGAATTTAGCTTTACGAATAATCGACTTGATATGCAACATCTAGCGTCCGAGAGTTTTACTCGTTCAAAGGCCATGGTTCAACCCTCATCGATATATTTTCACCCTTTTATTTTCTCTCACCACCAATATATTAGGGTGCCTCATACAATCACGATAAAATCAGATTTGCGAGAAAAATAACACTACAATGTTTTTGTCCAAATTTCGCTTATGAACATATTTTTAGGTGCGTTTTCGACGGCATTTTTACATGACGGTGTTCATGATACAGGGTTGTTTACCTTGACACTCTTGTCGTACTAACTCCTTTGTATTTTAATTTAAAATAATCGTGCTAATCACATAAGTCATAATCACTGATTATGAAACATTAAAATTTGTAGAAAATATTGACGCTTTATCTGCTACGGGACTCGAGCCCACGACTTCCGGAATCACGCCTAGACGCTTTAACCACTAAGCTAAACGGCTGACTGTCACACCGACGCACATCACAAGGGATTTATATACATTGTTTTTTTCTTAAGCATAGGAACATGCTGATTTATGGTTAATTTTAAGCGTCAGACTACACTAAACATGAAACTAAAAATGTAAAGTTGCCCATTTAGCTATAAAAATGATGCGATGATGAAGTAACATACAAATAATGTCCAGATTTAACCTATACCATAATGGCCTTAAGTTTAGATCTCTTATAAGTCATAAAGTTCTTAGGCCATACCGAAGTTAATTACCAAAGAAGCAGCTGACGCCGGAACAATAACACAGAAGAACTGAATTACAGTTATAACAATAACTAGACACGTTTACTGGCGTATTACAGTTACCAATTTTGTCGGAAATTGCTCGCCGCTCCGCGTCCCCTCGCTGAAATATCACTTCGCTATTGAGCGAACGTTCATACCGATTGTATACATCCACAATTTTCAGTCTCCGTGATAGCAATGTTTATGTCCAATTGTTTGTGAGTATCAAAACTTATGAGCGGTAGATGTTAAGTTTTTTTTTTTTTAATGTTAGAAGATGGCAAACGAGCTGGCAGTTCAGATGCCATGGACACTTACAACAACCGTAGGGTTAAGAATGCATTGCCACCTATCTATAAAGTGGGCACGATTACCTCAATCACCAGATGAAAATAATTAACCAAATAAAACACCAAACGATAACACTACTCAATCACTTCACGCCCTTCTCCACGGTCTTTTGTGCGGTCGTGGTTCTTCCCCAGACGCACCTGCTCATTCGTGCAAAAGCGAAAACTGCGACGACTACCACGCCATGGATGGCGTGTCGTTTTAAATTATTCTCCGTACTTGCGCAAATTGAATGCTTCCTTATACGGACGGAATACGTAAATCGAAAACTAAAATAGAGTGAATATGACCACTTTTCACATGGACAATTTCCATCATTAGAGACGCGTCTTCACAGGTGAATTTGATAACTTTTTGGCAGGCCCCCAAGCGAGCATCTAGATCGTAGATGCAGCTCGTATACACAAATACTTCCGCAACGTTACCGTACGATATACGGTTATCGTCAGAAAAGGTCATTCGAAATGTTCGAGACGTGATCGTCTTCTCAAATAGCCTACAGATGGTGTATCAGTTTTCAATTTTCTAATTCGCACTAACGACTGACTACTCGTTTTCTATCGTTTAGGTAAGCTCTTAGCTCTTTAGCTCACACTGTGCCTCGTGACAATTTTTATGTTATATGGTCGAGGTGAAATAACTTTTTTATGGATCCCGTCACGTTTGTGGGTTCGTTCATTAAAATGATTTTATTAAAGACATGTAATAGTCGGTAAATCTAAGAAACTATTTGACTTACGACGTTAAACAATTTTATAAATAACCTGTTTAGTTATGTAGGTATATACTTCACATTACATAAAATGTAAGTATCACTATCACTGTTTTCTCAAATATAGTTTAATATCATATATTTATTCGCTTAAATATTGCTTTTTTTAAGTACAATAAGCCTAGAGCACAAATTAACAACATAAAATTTCCATCAAATATTACATTCTGCTTGATAAAGATTTTTATTTTTATTTTTTAATATAGACAATGTTGTAAAAAAGGATCTCATATCTTCTAGCAAATAACTTATATAACAAGCATGTTCATACTATGCCTGTGAATGTTATGTTAAACATAAACTAAAATACCGCAAAATCCCTACTTAGCTGGCCACAACGGAGAAACAAGAACGACATCAATGAAAAAGTTAATTTAGCGAAAGATTTTCACGACGACATTAACTTCGAAACATTAAGAGAGGCAGTACGGCCGTAAGTTTTCTGGATGAATATAGAACGTTTGACCACGAGAGCCTAATTTACATAGAGGGGCTCCCGAGGTACGTAAGTCAGAGTGAATTTCCAAAGTAATTTCGGTGTCTTGGAGCGATTCCAAAACTTGTGTAGGTGAGTAGAATTAAGGCGCATTGAATATTTACCCGCCAGAGTGCATTCTGGACATCCGAAATTGTGCCTGTTTGTTAAAAAAATTTAAAAAGGGGATATGAAAAACCCACTAACGTAATGCAGAAAGGTAAATAATAACATGTATCACATCAACTTAATCCGCGATACTGGAAAGAACAAAAATTCAATTATTTATTTAAACGATCAATTTTTATTGAATCTGTGACCTCTATCAAAGTCATCCATTGAGGGACGGAAATACGGTAAGCCCTGGTCATTACTGGATTTCCAGGGGCTCGTTACAAGTGGTTTGCCCAAAATTTGGGAAGCCTTTGATAATTTTTAAAGTTTTTTATAGTGCTAATCTCTGCACTTAAGCAAGCATTGCTTCAAATGCTAAATAACAATGTAGAAAGAAGGCGTTAAGATTTTCGTCGCTGTGGTATCAGCCGTTTAGTTCAGTGGCTAGAGCGTGAGGCCGCGAATGCCGAAGACGTGGGTTCGATTCCCACAGCGGCGACAATCTTTTCGTCCTTTTTCTAAATGTTTTAAAGCCTTCGATACCTAACTATAAAAATATATGAAACTGGTTCGTGTTATGTCACTATTGACAAATGTTCCATGTGGCTTAATCCGTTAAGAGAGCTCCGTAAGTAGAGCTTACACAAGAAACTGAACAGAATTAGGCTTAGCTGTTCTGTTTGTTGCGTCTGTTGAGTAAAGACCCTCTTCACAATATTTTTTTTATGTTTTCCTTATTCACATAAGGTGGCGAGCTGGCGGACATCAGCTAGACCCATCGGGTTGTACATACGTTTCCACCTTTCAATGAAGTAGGCCCCGGTTACCTCACTCACCAGACGAAACACGAACAAAAGTGTAACGCGGCGTTCACGGCGGTCTTCTGTGAGGTCGCGGTACTTCCCCGGACAGTGCTGCCCATTCGTGCAACAGCTACGGACCACAGTTAGAGTATACGGATATTACGGTATCACATTTCGTGAATGTCTTCTTCAATGTTTTCTAATATATAGTATTCAGCGTGTTCGTTTGCCACCGAGCGCACGGTAAATCGGATCACATATCGGTTTTCAAGTTTGTCGCTCTTGTGTTTGTTTAAAGGCGACACGGACGCTGAGCTAGCGCGAGTCGCGTCGCGAGCGCACGATGGAAAACGAGACGGCCTTCGCCACGGAGCAATCTGTCCTGGGGCGGTAATTCGATTCCATCGGCTCCCGGGAACAGCGGTCCGGGGTTAATGAACTTTGCCCGGGAGGCGGTGGGGGGGGGGGGGGGGCGCAGCTGCCGCATGCAAATCCCAGACACCGCGGACCGTCGGCTCATTTAATTAATCCCATTTTCACCGAACTCCCTGGTCTGTGTACATTTGTTTATATTAAGTCGGCTAGTGCTGGTGCTAACTTCGCAACGGAATTATTTCTGTATTAACTTATCGGCTTCGCTGGTCTACGGAACTCTGCACGAAATGGCGGGTTTGAATCCTATTGGGATACTTTTACATTTATCGTTGTAATAATACTGTACTTGTTTAAATATGGTACAAACGGTGTTGACGAACGCAGAAGTACATTTCCATCATATTCAACCACTAGCTGTTCCATGCGATTTCATCCACGACGTTTCTGCATCGTCCCCGTAGGTCGTGGCGTGATGTTAAATACCCTATGACTTTCCTCTAGAATTGGGCTATGATATGCAAAAAGATTTTTTTTAATCCGACTGTTAGTTCCAGATATTAGCACGTACAGACACTTTCAAAAACTTTCGTCCATTTTTTTACAAATTTTAATCGTTTAGAGAAAACTAGTAAAAATCGGTCGAGTTTTCTCCTTGGCCAGCGTTCCGTCTATTGCGAGGCCACTTGGGGCTGCAATTTACGAGCGACGAAGGGCTTAAGTCCATAGGAGCTATTTGCCAGCACGATCCACGGAACAATCGCCCTGTGGTCGAAGATTTATGGCGTAACATTACGGATGCCCTTGTTTGGGCCATGTGTTGGTTTACTCTGACCTTACACGCCGGCGAACGTTCGAGAAAGAACTATTTTTTTATTTTTTTTTAAACTCCACGCGGACGAATTTGCGGGAACAGCTAGTCTTAAATATAACTGAAATGTGAAACACATTCTTGTGAGTTGTTACGCATTCAAAAGAAACAGACCCTAACTTTCTCCCGCCATGGAATATAGTCATCGTATTGTTGCTTAACGCGCCAAATTTCCTTTATGGAGATTTCTTCAATTCGCTCCATCGACTTTATGTAAATCGTCGCCGTATTTAAAGAACATGTTAGCGCTGGGAGCATATTCGGCGAAAGTAATTGTTATCGTGTGAAGAGGCTTCCAGTATTTCGAATTTTATGATGTCTTTTTATTGTAAGTCTACATGTAAATTAACTTTTCTTCAACATTTTAGCTAAATGGGCCGATTTGGGCAGTTACTAAATGGCTCCGCGTCGATTGATTCAGTTCTCAACCCTGGATAAATGATGTTTAAATCAACGTGCCTGTACAACGTGTTCCTATGTGCGATTTGTGAAAGGAAAACTTCTTAATACTAACAGTTATTATAAGGAAAACTTCTCTGTAGGTTATTAGGGCAAAGTCCACGCGAACCCACTGCGGATTGGTGGGCCTCAAAGCAATAATAAGCAAAGATTTATAACGTTAACCTATGTTGTAAGGGCATATAGATGTAAATTTGATAAGGACAAACACCCAGTTGAAACTAACTGCACTCACCAAGTTGTGGAGTCTGTCGTGGTTAATACATGAATACGACAATAACTACGTTAAAATTTTTAGGAGAATTGATTTTTCTATTCATGGATGAAAATCGCACTTTAAAGAAACTGATTTCAAAATATTTAATATTATATGATCTATTGATAATGCCAGCACTTGTTACATAAAATAGGCCGACCAAGTGCGAATCGGACTTGCACACGCAGGGTTCCGTACAGTTATCAATAAAACAGCAAAAAAAAATCATGTATAGTCTATAAGAGCCCTACTTAAATATTTTTATTCTGTTTTTTAGTATTTGTTGTTGTAGCGGCAACAGAAATACATCATCTGTGAAAATTTCCTGGTGACAGAAGGACAGAAAGATAGACAGACAGCGGAGTCCTAGCAATCGTTTTACCCTTTGGGTACGGAACCCTAAAAACGTTATTCCAAGCAAAAGAGTCAGTAGTTTCATACGGGATCGTATTTTCCGGAGTCGGCAGCCCTGAAGCGTAATACATTCGGCTGCAACACAAACTAAAGGACAAATATTTATTGTGTTCACGTCAACGCCAGTGCCAGCGCGCTGTGTCGCGGCGCTCGCAACTACTCTGGCAAATGATATTCACGACCAAAGTACGATGCAGCGCGGGTGGATTTCCAGCCCGATGCGGCATACCGTTCCCTTTCGCTAGTATTTCATTGTTGAATTATGCACCGAATACTTCGAGGCTTCTGTTCCCAGAAAATCCTTTTAGGTAGTCGCTATTTAAATACGAACTCTTGATGTTTTAACTCTGAATTTAGACAGAGAAGATATTGCAACGAGCTAGAAATTATATACGGCTGTAAGTGCTAAGCCAATGTGCTGTGCACGCGTGGGTTCGAATCCCATCCTCGTCGCCAATGTAATGTATAGAAAACGGGAGAACAAACAATCTCTCGTCAAATACCTACCCGCCACCCATAAAATAAACGTTAACCTACTACCTTACATTGTATATAACATACCATATTATACCATAACCTTTCTTTATTTACAAAAAAACGTGCGCGTTGATCTCTTGATGCCGCAGAAGTTCTCCACCTTCACTACTCTCCAACCGCCGCCAGCAGTCTTTCTGGACGGTTACGACCTGGTTATCTTCAAGAAGAGAGAGCCGTGATAGCTGTGATAGCAGCCGTGATAGCTCCTCTATATAGAGGGTATCAGGGCATAGTCCACCACGCGGCCCCACTGCGGATTGGCGGACTACACATATCTTCGAAATATATATATTTTTTTTGTTATTATTTCGAAAATATGCAGGTTTCCTCACGATGTTTTCCTTCACCGCGGAGCACGTGATAAGTCAGCACTTAAAGTTAAAAACTTCATTGGTGCCGGCACCGGGGATCGAACTCAGGTTGCTCGAGTATATTGAATTAAAGGCGAGCGCCCGGACACTGAGCTATCACGGCTCAGTACCCCTTTAATAGCATCAATATTATCGACTTGTGATTTCATCGACGAGACACGTTCCTGTTTGGCCCCGGGGGTCAAAGCCTCATGTTATCCTATTGCCTTATATGCTATCAAACGCAAAAGGATTTTTTCAAATATAATCGTTAGTTTCCATCAGTGGACAACTAGACGTTCGGCGGGGCTCCACCCTTTTGCTGTCGACATTCCACGCACAAGAACAAAGAGATTCGCATCGTCATTTATCATCCGTACGGCCAAGGAATGGAACAACCTGCCGGCGTCGGTCTTCCCATCCGATTATAACGTAAGCGTCTTCAAGGCAGGAGTGAATAGGCTTACTGAGCTAGCGCGCCTACCATTCACGGCTGCATCGCCTACCATCGCATCGCATATCTACCATCAGGTGCGATGGCAGTCAAGCGGTAGTCTGTTCCATATACAAAAAAAAGTTCCAGAGGCTAGCGCCACCATACAAACAAACTCTTCAGCTTTATTATATTAATAAGTAATAAATAAAGATTAGTATAGGTAAATACCAATTTGATCAAATGATCGAGCCTATTTTAGTCCAAAACCAAAACGTAATTGAGCGTAACACTCTCCAGGAACATTTAAAGAAAGTCTACGTACTTATTTACATTTCTTCGTGTTTCACATTGTTTTTGATTGTCACAACAAACATAATACCGCTTTTAACGGTTCCGTAGCCAAAGTGTAAAACAGGACCCTATTACTAAGACATCTATCCATCTGTCACCAGTCAATACCTTATGAATAGTAATAATCAGACGGTTAAAATATTCACAGATGATGCAGTTCTGATGCCGCGATAACAAGAAATACTAAAAAACAATACCAGGGGCAACTACTAAGTGGGGCTACCATACAACAAGAATGTCTTTATTACCGTTTTCATAGATAATGGTACGGAACCGAGTCCGACTCGTACTTGGCCGGTTTATTTTACATTTGTACGTATGAAGAATGATGCACGCTAAACAAAGGAACGTTGTAATCATGGCTGCGCCCTATTTGAAATATCGTTGTATCATTATTTCATTGTCTGTTAGTACAGACACGTAATATTGTGCTATTTAACTACTCCTCGTTGTGGCCCCTCAGAGGAAAACTGATGTGTGGTGCTATTTGGATTTATATGATGTAGAATATTAATAGTTTTACAATATAATGAAACAAGCTCTGGTTTAAAAAGTAATATTTATCACAATTTTCTATTCAATTGTAATGAGGAAGGAACATATAATGTATACATTGATTTTCTTCACATCCATACTTGAATAACGTAACCCAAATACAAGCAAATGAAAAAAAAAAAACTGTGTCAGCTTCTTTGTCCACTTGAAATTCATTTATGTAAAACGCCCTTCCAACACACGATAATGTCCATGTTTAATTAAAAACAAGAAATAAAACACAGAAACCTTCGTTAAAAATGTTTGACTGAGTTTCAATTGGAACAGTGGAGCCACTGCATCGTGAACCCAACAGTTTACCTAGCGGACTGGTTAAACGTTGACCCGCCGCGAACCCGAAGTAAATACCGCTAATTGAGTTGAGCTGACCGCTTCGAATACGTAATTTTTGAACTCACTATTCGGTACAATTGCTTAATTTTAACAGTACACATATACCGCTCGACATTTACGGTTATGCCGGGGATTGGAGGAAGCTATATCAAATTAAACAGAAATAGACCGGTCTTTTGTTAAATTGTTGTATAGGTCTTGTTATCCTTTAAACGAGAAATTCTTATAGATTATATATATATATATATATATATATATATATATATATATATAATCGGAATCTCGGACACGGCTCCAACGACTTTCATGAAATTTAGTATGTGCGTAGATTCGGGGGCGAAAAATCGATCTAGCTAGGTTTCATTTTTAGAAAATGTCCTTTTATCCCTGTTTTCAGGGAATGAAAAGTATCATTCGAATATGACAGTAAATTTCGCCGCAAAAAAATAGTTATAATAGCTCGGTCGGTAATCGGGCGCTCCAAAACAGACGGCCGCGGTTCGTATCACGATCATTTACATACTTATTTTTTTTACTTTTTTTCTATTCCAGATAATTTTTATTAATTTTAAAATACTTCATCTCT